AACCTATGAACTTGATTCTTGCATCTTCATGATAGCGGAATCTTGGAATGAACCAACAGTTGCCAATTTGCGCAATACGTGGCGTAAATTGCTGCCTCATATAATACCAGCGTTACCTAGTATAAATGTGGGTTAAGATGTTGACACCCTTGTGGATCAAGCGACTGGTGGGCACGGTGGTGGGGAAAGAAATTTCAAGAGCTGAGATAGAACACTGGCTTGATGGCCTCAACGAGGAGGAGTCACAAGTCACTACTTTTGATGGGACTGGCGTGTCCGACGTTGACGACGACGATGAGGACAAGGGTGAGGGCGAGTATGATAATAATTACAAACGTGTTAGTCTCATGAAAAAAGTAGTTTTAATTGAGTATTAATAAACCGGAAACTGTACAAGATCGGGCAAAGTGTCTGTTAGATTATTATGCACAAGGAGTCGAATAAAGTGCGTATTATATGCTTTGAAATATTTGAACCTTTTTTTGCCCGTACATACACACCGCATTCAATTATATAGGCCAATTACTAAGTAGAAACAATGTCTCTGAGGTAGGACCCTAGTAAAAAAGTAAAAATCGGTCGAGGGGCTCGTAGACCAAAACCTCGACCTTGAAGTTGTAGAACAGAGCTCTCTGATGGAAACAAGATGTGAACGAAATTTTTCCGTCAGAATTTGAGACACCTGGAACTTTTCCCGTACGGGTTCAAGGCCTCTACGAGATATCTTTCTTTCGGTCCTCCGATCAAAGCTGGCGGAGCGCGAGCCGGCCGAACGCGCGCCGCACGCCGCGGCGGAGGGTGCGTCGAAATCCTGCCTGCCAGCGCGGCTGGCGGCACCGCCCACCGCGCTACTGCCCATGCGCAGAACGCCTGTTATCTCTTGATTCCTGCATGTTAGAAATAATATTAAGTGCGTTCCTGCATCGCTGCACAAACTAACAATGCGGGGTCCGGGCGGCTGAAAGCTTCTTCTCCAGGGCGCCCTTCTCTCATGGACTCAGGTCGTTTCTTTGTATATTACCATTATGTGCGTAATTTGCCACATTGGGAGGCAAAAGAGCTAATGGCAGAGGGCTTATTTAAAAACGACCCTATAACGGTGAACCAAGCATGGGAGATAGGGATGTCTTATATGGCTGAAGTACATGTAAACTAGGAAAAAGAAGTAGCGTGCATCAGAGAGAAATGTGCCGAACGGAAAGCCCGGTTAATGGAATGTGAAGCTAAATTAGAGATCCTAGAGCAAGTTTACTCTGACGTAAGAAAATCTTTTGCTGAATTAAAATTAAAACACAGTGAATGTACAGATGAAATTATAAAACTCAAAGTAGCAAATTCAAATGTAAATAAATTAGAACAAACTGTCCTTGAACAGACTAGTAGTATTAAAAATCTAAAATCTCAAGTAACAGATTTACAACTCTCAAATGCACATAATGTAGGAACAGTAAACTTGTTAGATAAACAAAATACCGAATTGCAAAATAAAGTAGCTTTACTAGAATTAGAAAGAGCGAGTATGCAGGAGCGGATCAGGGTGCTTGAAACACAACAACAGGAAGAAACCGTGGAAAAACCACGCCACGGATCAGCAGCAAGGCGCCGAGCGCGGTAAATGCGTTCGCATCAGCCAGAAACCCCTGTGGTGAGACCGCCGCTTTGGGAGCAGCCCCTTACCCCCTGACCCCACCCGCTCAAAACTCGTACCCAGTATATCATAAATCTAGCCACCGCCAAAATACATACTATCGACCTTACAAAAATGTTCCCATTCCATTGTTATTATTCTTTTAATTAGAGTTCTTTATAGGTTTAACTTTAAATTTGTGTGGATAGACAATAGACAAACGATTGGCTGCGGCGGGATTTTAGGTTAGACGTTGACTATCACCAGTTACAGACAGGTCGGTCAGCAAAAGTTATACTTTTAGTTGATAATTGTAGTGCTCATAATGTAGATGTGGAGTCTAATGTTTATGGAAATCTTCTGAGATTGAAAATCTCTGATTAAATAGAAGCAGTATTCCTACCGCCGAACACAACATCATTTATCCAGCCCATGGATCAAGGGGTTATCGTAAAAACTAAGAGACTATTTCAGGGAAAGTTATTGCGACGAGTCCTCAAATGTCCTGGGGGGCTAGTAGAATTTTACAAAAACTACACTATTAGAGATGCAATTGAGATGCTGGCTGAAAGAGTTGACTCCCGCTAATCTCACAAATGCGTGGCGTAAATTACTTCCGACATTTTTCAAAGACGACAATGAGGAACCCGCGCCTGTAACAGTGGAAGTACCAACAGTAGCTGATCTAGCAAATATAGGAAACTACCCCGAGACAGCACTGAAAGAGAGGTTAGATGAGTTGGACAAGGCAGAGGAAGAAACTACAGGCCAAGAAATTGAAACAGTGGAACCCGTAGAAACAGTAAAGGATAATAACGACATTGATCTTGTGGCTATGAAAGTGAGCTTTGCAAATGTTCTAAAGTATTGTAAAGGGCAAAACCTTGATTTGCAGCTTAAGTTTCAGCAGATTTATGGACATTTTCAAAATAACCTTCAACTTTAACAGCTAAATATGTATAGGTGTGTGTCATTGAGAAATAAAATGTTAAATGTGTATTATTCTGCGTTAAATTTCTTTCTCTAACCCTATCTCTTGAACAAAAAGTCGGAGAAATTAGATTCGAAATCGTACATTTGCCTCCAATGGCGTTCCGTAAAATGAGCTGATCGTGAACATTCTAGGTGCACTCGTTCAAATTTTATCAGCATCCCTGTTTATGAATAGCACGGGAGAACAATAGAGCTTCAGCCGGGCTGCTCCCGTGCGCGCCCGCGCGCTCCAGCGTGCCGACGCTCGGTCGACAAAGCGAGCGGACACGACGTTTGATTGGCAGGTTTATGGCTCGAGCGAGCCCCGAGCTCGACCCTCCCAACACGTGCAAAAGGTCTCGAGATCCCCGCTATAGGCTGAAAGTCTGTCTCCTTACGCCAGCTTATATCGGGGAGATATTGTATCGGTATCCCAAAAAGTACCTAGGTATCGGTAAGGTAGAATGAAATTTCCAGTACCTGGGTAAGGTAAGGAACCGGAAAAAGTACCTAGGTACTACCTAGGTACTCTACTACCTAGGTATTTCCCATCCCTGTTTAAGTGCATCGAAGTCCACGAATAGACATTAGCACACCTGCACGTGTGAAGGGCATTCACACACTTCCGTTTCCAGAAGACGTTGAATCCACGTCTCTGCACACTAAAAGCTTAGGAGCATTATTATTCATTGCTTACTGAGTTCTGTGTACCACGTGTAGCTGTGAATTCGAAGCAGTGTTGCGGGATTGCATTTTCAAGATGGCCGCAGGGTCCATGGCCCCTTACGGGTGTAAAGTAAAGGCAGACCCGCAACACTGCTGCGTATTTACAGTTACACCCGGCACGTGCTCTGCTTATGATACGCCAGTATGAACAAATTTGTTCACACCGGCGTATTAAAAAATGCGTAGGCAAAGCCCGTACACAGAACTCAGTAAGCTATGATTAAAAATGTCCATAAGCTTTTAGTGTGTAATTCTCACTAGGATCGGATACAAAATTGTATCTACGTTACATTCAAAATAAAGCAGTTGTACTTATCTACCCTAGGTACCATGTGCACTTCCTGACAGACAAATTTGTCTGGTGAAGATGTGCAAGATGTGGAAACGTCTACCATACGTACAAAAATTGTCCCTTCCCGTTTAGAGTGTAACTGGGTTCAGTCACAAAATATAGTAATAACGTTTACTAACAAGCTTGCGGTAATCGGTTCGATAATGAACAATATTCGTCCATATTCCTCCTATATTCAAGTAATATTCAACTACTCATGTATTCACTGTACGTGACACCTTAAAGTTGCTGACCCCTCGCCTATAACCATTGCAAATACAATTTGTTTACTAGGACAACACTAGACCATCTAATCTTTCTTATTGTTTGTTGGTTTTTTTCAATTTTTTGTGTTAAAATAAGTCATTTGATGAAAACCAGGTTTAACATGTAGATAGGTTCCTTTTAAAAAACGATCCAACATACAAAACGTCTGAAAACTCAGGTTTTCTTAAGTATCAACAAGTTTTCAAACTTGAGTCATTTGCCCCAATTATGACTTGACGCCCAAGAATTCTAAAGCCAGGTTGATGATAAAACTTTTTCGCTACTTTCAAAATATCTGGTGAGTGTGTCATTTTAACCTGAACAAATATAATAAATGTTTATAAAATTATCCATAACCAGAAAATAATTGGCTAAGCCCAAAATGACATGTTGCCTAAGTAGTTTGAAAGTAACGGAGAGGTTTTCTCATTATCCTGGTTTCACAAATCTTGTGTGTATAATTATAATTGGGACAAATGACTCTAGGAGAGTTGTTAATCCTTAACCCAAGGTTTACGGACTTACTTATTTGTTTATTTATTTTAAAAGGGGCCTGTCTATTTAACAATTACCTAGTTTTTAGCAAACGAATCATTTTTACTCAACTTAAAAACCATAACCATACAGTAAAACCTCCGTAGATGGACCCTCCGTAGATGCACATATTACGGACCGGCCCCTGCCCCAAAAAATGAAAACGTTTACGCGCCTCTCCCCTAAGCCGGCTTGATTGACAGGTCGTGCTCCGCGCGGAGCACCGGCTCGACCATTGGTATGGCCCGAGCTCTGGCCCGACGGGGAGGCCCCCCGGCGCTGCCGGCCGGGGCTCGCTGGGGGCTTCGAAGGGAGAGGGGAGAAGGGTTTTTCCTACCGTGCGCTTGGTATCCAGTAGCCAGAGTAGCATGTTTTGACGCTTTTCTAAGAAAAGGGAAAGGACCGAGCTGAGTCCCTACTGCTGTGCTCCGTACTCGCACGCCAGTAGGAGTCTTGTCCTGGACCAGAGAGGTTGTGCCGAGTCGTGTCGGAGCGATCCTGACGCGTGTTTTTCCTGAGTGTTTACAAGTTTGACTTGCCATCATGAGGGCTTTGAAGCCTATCACAGACAATGTGCCGAAACCAAGACGCCTAAACACGCTTAGGAAAAAGCGTGTTGAACTAAAACTGGAAGAAAGGGTAAGGTTTCGTTTTAAGTCGACTTCCTCAAAAAATGCAGCTAATTTGGAGCAATATCTCAAAAATTATTTTTGGATTAATTTTTAGGTTGAAATTGCCAATCGACTAGAGGCTGGAGAGAAAGCGTGGAAATTAGCGGACGCATTTGATGTGTCCTATGACACAATTCGCCGTTATCGGAGACAAGTAAGAAGCACGAAACAATTTCTATCGACGTGTCGCAATAAAGCCAGGAAACGAACCAGGAAAGTGAAGTACGATGTGATTGACGCCAAAGTTCACTCGTGGGTCCTGGAGAAAAGAGCGCAGGTATGTACAGTGCCCCCCCCCCCTCGCTACTTTGCTTTAGAATATAATTATGATGAATTTTTTTTTCTGATTACAGGGCCATATTCTTCCAGGCCCTTTGATTCAAGAGAAGGCTGTACTGTTAGGCGAGTCGTTAGGACTGGAAACATTCAAGGCAAGTAACGGGTGGTTTCAGAAATTCAAGAAGCGCCATGGGGTGCGCGTACTTCATATCGAAGGGGAAAGGCTGACCGCAAATGAAATAGAAGCGAGAGCTTTCATCGGCAATTTTGAAGAGGAGCTAGAGAAATTCGATATGCGTGATGTGTACAATTTCGATGAGTCGGGGCTTTTCTGGAAAAGTGTCCCGACCAGGACATACGTCCACGCGGGAGAAACACGAGCTGACGGGGCTAAAGTTCGCAAGGACAGGGTAACAATCGGAGTGTGCGCTAACGCTACGGGGTCCCACAAGCTGCCACTTCTAATGATAGGCAAGGCTAAACATCCTCGAGCCCTGAAAGCCTACTGGAATCACTTCGAAAAGATGCGAATCATTTATAAGCACCAATCTAGTTCCTGGATTACAGCGGAAATCTACACAGACTGGATACGGAATTATTTCATTCCGTTAGTGGAGCAACGCCAGAAAACAGAGGGGCGTAGTGGTGAAATACTTCTCCTGGTTGACAACTGTGCGGCACACAAATTAGTCGGAGAGGAGGCCGACATCGCGGCGATAAAAGAAAAAGTAAAAATTTGGTTCCTTCCGCCGAACACCACTTCCCTAATCCAACCTATGGATCAGGGAATAATCATTAAATTAAAAAGGTGCTTCCAAAAAAGATTTTTGCGCAAAGTTTTAGAGTGTGACGAGGGGCTGACTGCTTTTTATAAAGGGTACAATCTGAACGATTGTGTTAATATGGTGGCGGATTCTTGGGGAGAACTGACTGTTGCTAACTTACGCAACGCTTGGCGCAAATTGCTGCCGACAACGCTGCCGCCGTTACCTCCAGGATCCGACATCATGAATCTGACCCCGGAGACAGACACAATCGTTGAACTTCTTCACAAAGCTTCCGGCGGGATCACGCGGGATGAGGTTAATGAATGGTTAATTGATCTGAATGAAGGGGAGGCACAAGTAACGGGCCCCGATGGCCCGAGCAGGGCGTTAGATTGTGAGGGGATGTCCGGAGGAGAGGACGAGGACAGTGGGGACAAGGAGGACAAGACGGACAAGGAAGACAATGAGGACTGGGAGGAATGGGTGAAAAGGGTGGACAAGGAGGAATGGAAGGAGAGAGATGAAGAGGTGGAAGAGACGGGGCGTATGGAAGGGGAGGAGGAGAAGGCAGAGAAAAAGGGAGAGGAGGGCCAGGAGGTGGAGAAGGGAAAAGGAAACGGAGATGAAGGACAAGATGTGGAGAAGGCAGAGGAAAAGGGAGAGGAGGGGGAGGAAAATGGAGAGGAGGGAGAGAAAATGGAAGAGGAGGGGGAAAACCATGCAAAAATTGTCAATCTTATGCAACAGGTTGTCGAGCTAAGTAAAAATGAACCGGAGGATGTGCAAATGCAGGCACAGTGTCTACTAGATTATTTCTCGCAAGGAACTATTTATATTTTGAATAAAACTGTGTAATAAAATAAATGTAAGTAAAGAAAATTACTGTATTATTTTTTTTCATTCCTTAGTACCCCTGTTACTCCAAAAAATTGCAAGAAGTGCGTATACTGCGTACTCATACGTTCGGACGGCCGCGCTGCGCTGCACTGGCTGTGGGTCGGGCGCGCGGGCCGGGCCATGTAGTGGTCGGGCCGGCGCGGCTCACCTCTCGGGCGAGGCGGCGCACAATAGACTTTATGGCCGGGCGAGGCTCCGAGCTCTCGTCAACCAACATCTGGCAAACGTTTTGACAACCTCCATATCTGCAAGACCTCGGTCCCGATTGCTGTGCATCTACGGAGGTTTTACTGTATTTAAAACTAGAGGCCAAACTGTGATGTAAAGAACGCATTCTTGCTAGAGACAAAATTGGCCGCTACGATACAGGGATTTTCTTTGATCTACGGAATGCATACACTAATACAAAGACAATTATTGTATTTGGCTGTAGACGTATATGTGTCTAACTGAATTCAGATACAATAACTTACTTTACACAATTAAGCGTTGTGGTAAAGCTAAAATGCAGAAATATGCGAGAAATAAGAACACAGAAATCGCCATGTGTCTACATGGTGACTTCTGTATTCTTGTTCCCTGCATTCTTTTGCATTTTAGCTTTATTGGAATGCTTCATTGGTAACTAGCTAGTTATATTATTGTATCAGAACTCAGTTATGCACACAGAATTCCAGTGCTAGTTACAATAATTGTCCATGGATATTTACACTCTAAATCTGAAAGAATTATTATTGTCCTTAGCAATATGTGTTTTTGTGCACATCTCAACCAAATGAAGGTTTGTATCCAGCAAGTGTCAAAGTAGAATCCCCTATATGTTCATCATTAAGATGCAAATTTCTCACTTGTTAAATTCAAACCTGCATCCGGTTGAGATGTGCACAAAAAAGCATCTTTTGTTGGACAAAAAAGGGCTTTCATATTTAAAGTGACTGTACAATTGTACATTTACGATTTTGTACAGAGCTGTGGACGCACAAAAAGTTGGCAAATTTTGATGCATAAACATGCAGAATTTGAAACAGCCATGAGTATTTACAATCTTCAGGCATAATTATGGACAAATTATTAACTGGAGACCAAATGTGGAGGGACATTCTTTGGATATAGAAAAATGCATTCCAAGCACATATTGACACAATGAATTTTAGCAACTTCCAAAGGGACAATATTTTCCATTCCTTTAATACACATTTTATTTTCATTTATTAAAAATTTGTCGCTTGCAAGTTGCTGTAATGCATCTAGTGAAGATGTGCCTCAAATGCACACAGAAAAGAACATTTCATCCCTTAGAAAGCACCTGAACATATATGCACATGTATGCACACATTGTACATAATTATGCATGGAATTGCGTATGAATGTAAACCTGCTTAAAACTGTACATCTTCATGCACTGATAAACCAAGTGTGCAACTGATCAACACATGTAAATGTGCAACTGTGAGCTTAGTACTTGCAAGGGTTCGACACAGAAGTGCTACACTTGCAAGCGTTCCACTATGTAGATTTTCACTCGCAAGTGGGCACCGCCTCACTTCCCACTCAGTGTACGCAAAATCTAAGAAAGTGCTCAACAAAAGAGTTGCACACTAACCAGTGCACAGCCAGCATGTTGAACACATGCAACTATACTACTAGTGAGATGCACACTAACTGGGATAGTACTTTCTGGTACATATCGTATGAAGTGGTTCGAGCGTACGCAATTATGCACGAAATCAGACATGAATATGCATAATCTCATGCATCAATAAACAAAAGAACTATGCAAAGTCAATGCACAAAATCTAGCATATTTCTGTGTGAATATGTACATAATCAAGCTCGTTTTTCTGCATGATGAAGTACGCACGAATCACTCCTTACGACATGTACAAAAAAGTACAGAACACCTGGTGTGTGAACACTTGGAAGTATTTCACTCCCAGTTGCACACATTGTCTTGAGCAGTTGTAGACTCGGTTTATCAGTGTGCACAACAAAATGAGTAAGGGTTTAGTTTAACAGTTAGTGTGCATGACGGCTCTATCTGGTTCCGTTAGTGCCTTCATTGGCTGACCACCACTGTCGTCATAGGGTATTCCAATGGAGCGCTGCCCGGAACTAAGAAGAACAAAAGCGGATGCAGAGAGCGGTGGTGGGGGCGGGCGCGCGGAGGAGCGGCGGGCAGGCGGGAAGGCTCCCCTCCACCCGCCGCTCCTCCGCGCGCCCGCCCCCACCACCGCTCTCTGAATCCGCTTTTGTTCTTCTTAGTTCCGGGCAGCGCTCCATTGAAATACCCTATTATTTCCCTGCCTTGGCTAGACGTTTGGAGCAACCGAAAAAAAAGGCAATCTTTTTCTTGCCTTTAACCTTAGGGCACAAAGTCAAAATCTCCAGTTTCTCCGCGTGTTTCCAGCCTTTCAGCCTTGTGAAGGGGATTCTTGCAGGGTGGGTGAGGATTGTCGTCAGAGTCGTAAGGCCCCAGGTCACTGTTGGCTGTGTCGGTGCCGTCCTCATCGTCGTCCTAATAAATGCCGAAATGTCGATAAACAGATAAATAAATAAAAAGCGTACAGTATTCCTCCCCGGGTGGAAGGATCTTCAGTTAAACTCAACTCAAGTAAGACGAGAAAAAATGCTATTAAACTATCGTTTACTGAAAAAGTACTCCTGTTTTCGGACTCTGCAGTTAAAACTATAGTTTTCTACACCTAAACTGCACTTTTTCTTCAGTATATATATGCCTTAGCAGGAACACTGTAGATGTCTGTGTGTGTGTTTGTCTGCGGTCATCACGATTACTCGACTCGACTTGAACTTTGCATCTTAAAAAGCATGAACTGTATAGATTTTCAGACCTCTATCTTAAAAATTGACCTGTCAAAAAATCAAAAAGCGCAAAACATTTCTTAAGAAAAATGTTTTTACGTCTTTCTAAGGAGTAACTCGTCACAGTAGAACCCGTAGGACCAAAATGAAGCATTTCGGTGTAGATAAAATGAAGAAGAATGCGAGAAAGAAGAAAACGGAAATCACTATGTTTTACATGGGACATTTGTTTTCTTGTTCCGCATTCTTCATCATTTCAGCTCTACCGGAATGCTATATTTCGTCCGTTTGGCTCTACCTCTTACCGATTAGGCGCCAGAGGGCGATAGGATATTTCAATGGAGCGATGCCCGGAACAAAGAGGAACAAAAGCGGATGCAGAGAGTGGTGGTGGTGAGGGGG